CTCAAGATTTTCAAATCAAGGGGAAGAAATTAATCTGATTTTGGCTTGGTTGTGACTTAATTTGCATACCTCTCATCTCAAGATTTTCAAATCAAGGGGAAGAAATAGTCAATGTTCAAAATATAGACAAAGCACATATATTCTTAATAAAATATCTAGCTATAATTCATCTTATATAACCAATTATAGAAGCGGCATTAAGCATGCCTCTACACTCTCTGTTCAAAGAATGGCGATGACCCAACTAGTTCAATCACCATCACCCTTGTGTTTGAGGAGGCAGCAAGGGTTTCAACTTTCAACTTTGAACCTGTTGAATGAAGGGAAGCTTCCCTTTCCTCTCTATGTGGTAGTAATGAATCGCATTAATTGAATTCTTGGGTGCACCTCCGTAACCACTCCCCCTAACTAGATGGTGATGGTGAGAGAATCCAGCTAGCTAGGAACCTTGTAGGAATGAACTGAACACGAAATATGAGGGGTTGTGTAGATAAACATGTATCCTACTAGTTTAGTTGACTCAATGAGCCGCTGAATAAATAATTAAATTAATTTTAGTATAACATAAAAGGAGAATGATTCATCAATTTCCACCATTCAAAAAGATTCAACCATTTCTCGAACTCCAAAAACAATTTCATTCTTAGTTTTAAAGATATAATGTTCATTATCTCACTCACCTAGAACATTAAAGATATAATGTTCATTTGCACTATTAAAAAAAAAGATTCCTTACCAATCCAAACCAATCCAAGTTTAGCTAAACTATTTGCCAACTGGTTCGATTCTCTTGGAATCCGTCTGCAACTCCAATTTAAAGAAGAGGAAATGTCATGGATGATGGAATCAAGAAATTTAAATGGTTGACATGTAACATGTCTATGAGAATACAGTGGATGGGGAGATCGATAAAGGCATTGGCTGAAGGGATAGCCAAGCAAGGGGCAAGTAGGGAACATTTGTTTTGGGCTCAATTGTAATTTGATATTTACCTCTTTTGTAATTTGTTTGGGAGAGGCCGCAACTTACGCTTCACCAAGGCCCAGTCCTAGGTTTGGTTCCCAGCCGATC